TTTTACAACAAAAAATCACTTACCGCGATCCGAGCCGCGTTGGATCGTTACGCGCGGGAAAATGTTGGAATCGTTGCTGGAATGTATGAATTAAAATCAATTTTTGGTGGTGTACATTATCTCACTGTTTTAGTATATACTAAAACAACTATTCACCTCAGTGTCGGTGGTTAGCGGTGAATATTTACCTTGCCGCTTCGCGGCTCGGTAAATATCCACCACTAACCACTTCTGTGAATAGTTGTTAAATATGCCAACGTTGGATTATCATTCCACATATATACCAATGTTATTCCAACTTGGAATCTTAAATTTTTTCCTGTGATATGGGTTCAGGCTTTACACTGAAGTCCTCTCACAAACATAAACACAGCAGCTAAAACATTTGTTCCTTTATTTCCACCCCCACGTTTGTACAAAAATCATTTTGAATCATCAGGGGCTGCTAGCCTGAAAACTCTTGGGAACCTCCTAAGTTACATTCTTTGTTTTCAGCTACTTGTGCTCATTGCCACTAGCACATAAAAATCTGATTAACACAAATGTAAAACATAGTAGTTTACCTTACATGAAACGTAAAAAATCATTCCTTTTATTTCAAGCATGACTACTAAAATATTTCCCCACAGTGGCAGATGCAAACCACTCTAACTTAAGATACACCAAAAATTGACATACTCCAATATTATTGATAAAATAAACACAAATGTGAATCATTTTACATTCAAAGTATTTGGTACAGAAAATAGACTCTCGTAATAAACTTGTTCTCAACATGAAGATGACGGAATTTATGACGTTCGGCACCCACCAAAGGCTCGCGAGACTAAAGTGTGATGAAACTGATATAAGCCTCAATAGACAGTCAATTAAGCATACGGACACTTAAGTACTTGGGTGTCGTTCTTGATGGCACCCTTTCCTTTAATGACCACGTGGATTATGTGAGGATCAAGGTATCTAAGATACTCGGTATGTTGTCTCGAATAAGACCTTCACTAACACTAGAAGCTGCAAATAGACTTTATAAAGCCATGGTCCTCTCGGTTCTAGATTATTGTGATACTGTGTGGCATGAATGTGGGCAAGGAAACAGTGACAAGATTGAATGACTACAGCGTAGAGCAGCGAGGATCGTCTACTCCAAAGATGCCTCAAAACTAACAACTGATCCAGCTATGACTTAACTGGGCTGGAAACCCCTCTATTATAGAAGACGAACACATATTTCTAGATTTGTTAATGAGTGCATTGCAAATAGAGTTCCCAGATATCTTTTTAATTATTTTAATGTAAGAATTCGCAACATTCACCGCTACAATACTAGAAATAATGATGGTCTTATTTTAGAAAAAGTTAAATTAGAATGCACCAAGCACGCTTTTTTGTAGAAAGGTGCAAAAATCTTTAATGATTTTAAAGAATTTTTAATAATTCGTAGAATTTATTATTGTCCGAATTTACTTTCATTTATTGTAACTATTTTATAATTTACTCTAAATTGATTTCTATTTTTTTTTTTTTAAACAGGACCTGCATTGATAGCAGTTTTCTTTCCTAAACTGAAGCAGCAATCCTGTATAAATATGTTTAAATTATTATTATTATTAATTTAAATTTACTGAACATAAAACATGTTTATTATAATTCAAATAGACGGAGAAATATAAGTGATTTCCAATTTGCATTCTACAACAACCTCTTTAAACCCCTACCTTAAATTCAGTTACATGTACCTTAAAAAGGGAATTGCAAGAGTTTTTCATTTAGGGTTTGTTCAGGGGAGGATAAACATGAATTGAAACAAGCCAATAAAACATAGTTGATAGAAAAACTGGGTGCAGTTTAGCCAAAAAATTAAAGCAAAGTCTACAGAGTGTGGAAAACTACAAAACTGCTCTTACCCCACCACGGAAAAACTGATGAGGAGAATATAGGCGATGACGAAGGTATTGATGACCTATCTTAAAGGACATAAGTAGCAAAATTCCATAAAAAAAGCCTTTTGAGACCTATCAACAAATCACAAGTGTTTAGCATCAAGGTTTACTACTGTCAAAAGTACGAAGGTAGGCTGCGTTTCATTGCATCTATCTATTATAATTAACTATTAAAGAGATTAACCTTTGGTATCTTACTAGAACACTAATTTTATAATTGCCTATTCTTTAATCTTAACCTTTTTCTGCCAGAAGTGTCGATGAAAAAAATGCAAATGTAAACAAGATGCCGTTGTAAATCTTGTTTTCTTTAAATTGTGTTGCAGGACAAGGAGGAGAAAGAGTGGGCCCCTGAGGAGGTTGAGAAATTAATAGATTATTATAGGGGCAAAGAGGATCTGTGGAACCACAACTTAGCAGAATACAGGGACAAGCAGTTGAAGGAGTTAAACCTGAAGTCTTTAAGTGCACGAAATCAAGAAAGAGTGGACAACTCTGAAAACCATTTTCTCGAGGGAAGTCAAGAGGGAGGAGGGAAGCAAAGTGAGTGGAACAGGGACTGACGCTGCGTATTAATCCCCCTGGCGGTACTTCAAGAGTATGTTGTTTATCAAGGGGAGTGACAATATTGACCCCCAGACAAGCACTCTGAAAGTAGATGTGGAAAATGTTGAGCCACACCCCCCAAAAAAACCAAGATCAAACGAAGCCACACTTGCTAAGGAAATGGAGGAAGCCAAGCTTGAGTTATATAAGGAGGCAGTCAAGTGCTTACAGATGTCTGTTACTCAACTGCCCATTAACCCTACTTAGGCCTCAAATGATGATGAGTTAACCTTCATCTTAAAGAGTGTCGAGATTACTTTGCAACAGTTCTAATGTAGAGATCTTTCAAGAGCAAAAAAGAAAATCAATGATGTCATTTTTGACCTGGAGATGGAAATTTTACATGGAGAGTGCATAATCTCAAGCCCCTAAATGCCCGATGCCATTCAGTGACATCATGAATTACAACTGGCCTTATGCTCAGAAAGACTGCCAAGGCACCTCATCATAGACCACTTCTTACACTATTTCACATGGTTATGTTACACTGTGCAATAAGTTTTGTTTTATAATTACTTCATTTATTTATTTACTTATTATTTGGTTATTTGCTATTTTATCAACAGTGATACAGATAAACATATTTGGTTATTATTCACAAAACATACTGTTTTCTTTCAGTTCCAGTCCATAATAAGTGTTACCAGTAAGTGTACTTCTCAAAATATGTGTATGTTCCACTCAAATCAGGAAATTGTAAGCACTGACTGTAATGTAGCCACACGCCCTTGAACTTGAGAATTTAGATATTTGGTCGCAGCAAACGCTACAGTAGTGTAAAAGCCTGGAAAGGTTTCTAAGGTCTCCCACCCAATGATTTTAATTATTAATAACAAAAACTGTAATTCTTGTTTTTCAATTGTGGGAAATAAAACAATACAAAACACAATGCAATACCTTTGTAGTTATAAAAATGAGAGCCGGAGTTTGCTGGCTGTTGGATGAGGATTCTTTTCCCATCCACGGCAGCTATGCCATTAGGAAAATTCCAACTTTCTTCAAATCGAAATGCAATTCTCTCCCATTCAGCTTCTGTTTTAGGGGTTGTTAAGTACTCCTGGCCTAGCGTTGAGTAAATTGCCTCACATGTTTCCCTCACTATTGTCGATATCTGCTGGCATGTTATGCGAAGCAAGTACTCCAAAGCTTTGGAATTTATCGCCAGTTGCCAGGAATCAGAGTGTAACTGCGAAGCGTTCCTCGACTGATATATTGTTGTTGAGGAGATTCAGCGGATAAGGCTGTGGTTTTCGCTGTCTCACTGGTCTGATCTTGTAGGCAACAAACTGAAACTGATCTCTTGTGAGAGGCAAAAAAAATTTCGGTAGCCCTTCTCGTCTTCAAGCGTTATCTCCTTTACGAGCTGGTGGAAAGCCCCTCTCTCTTTTCTCCTAAGGATCCACTGCCTTGTTGGTCCCCTCTTTTTGCGCTTTTGTTTATTTTCTGGTTCTTCGTCGTGTAAACCTAGCAAAATAATAACCGCAGCAGCGCGCTTTTGTTGTTCTGATGCCGCCATCTTAGATCCACACCAAGCAAATCAACCAATCAGCGCGCTACATTTCTTCAACTCGCAACACGTTTTTGTTGCGCGACAAGTTGATCAAGAAAGGTGAAAAACGAGACACACCGACCAAAACTTGCAGCGAAACAACGTTGCGCACCAAGTTAATTAAGGGTTTTTGTATCTCGTATTTCGCCGCCTTAACGGCGAGCAGAATAGACCAGATCAAGTACAAACACCCTGTATATGTGTCCCTTTCCTAAACGTTTTCATAACCAAGATGCAACTGAATCCCACCAAACGAAGATATTTCACCAATCTCCCCCACTAAATAATTTGTCACACTCAATTAAAGTAGGTTCTCGTCTAACTCAATGAGCACGGAAGGTTCCGAAATAATCTGGAACAACCGAAAGTGCGACAGATTTTACGATTCTCGTCGCGCGTGGATAGATAATCCTCCAGGCGTCTCACAACACGCATGACGTCATTTTATTTTTCTCAATCAGCGCAGTGTCTTTCACTACCCAGCATTCCGCCGAGGTAAACAAACATGGCGGCCCCAAAATAGACCAGATAATATATCGAGAAAAAAGCTGATTGTAGTCCTGTATTACTAAATTATTGTTCGACTACCAGCGTCTTAATTAAGTTCACAATAGTTGCTTGAGACCCTCCTCTTTGGGCAGTTGCGCCAAGGGAGAGATTCTTAAAATAATGACATCCTTTCATAAACGAGCAGTTTGTTTTCCTCGAGCGCGTCTTACCCATGTACAAATTATTCAAGTTAGAGCCTAAAAAAGGTTTAGTCCTGATCACATCTTAAGTGGTTAAAGTTTGAAGGAAATCGCGGGGCCCCCATCATTTTCTTTTCTATACTTTTCTTGGGCGGCGATTCTCAAATTGCAGTAGCAGCTTTCGGCCGTCTATCGACATAATTTTTGGTCACTTCGAGTCATTTATTACCCTGATTTTACAATGGATAATAATGATTAAGTTTGACAAGACCTAAAAGCAATTTTAACTGAGAAAGAAATCCCTCAAGCTCGGGAGCTAAAAAATTCCAAGTGAAGACAAGATTCTTTTAATTTCTGGCAATGACATGCAGCAACGTCGCTACTGAGTAAATCATTCGAAGGCAGCATAATATCAATAATAGTGCCCAAAGCACATCTTCCATTCCTGGACAAATAGAGCGCAGCTGAACGAAACTTAATCAAAGCAAGTCAAACAAATATTCAGCTGGAAGCTTACCTGACCATCATTGGACTCCGCGTAACCGTTTAACCAACTTTCACGACTAGATGGATTTCCTATCAAAAATCGCGCAAAATTATGATCATCTACATACAAGTTCGCTGTCAACTTCCAAAATTGAAATAAAAAGACATTGATCTTTACCTTGCTCTCCTAAGGTTGGAGACTGTGAGAGCTGGTGCTCGGGATCTTTGGATCTATCATCGCAAACACATGAGCGATCCGCCATATTTGACAGCACACCACAGATCACCCAAGCTCGCTAAAAACAGTGCATTAGGCAAAAATAAAAATGTGTTGGGAGAAACGGTCGCCCTCTCAATCGAGAAATCGTGAATTATACTAACAAAGCGAACATTCACCTCGCTTAAGTGATTGTTTCTTTGACTGAATATTCTGCGCCGATTTGGGGTTGTCCAGTTTCATTGATTAATAAGAAACTGCGAAATAGAACCTATATAGGCAGAACTAACTCCACCGTGAGGCACAAGGAGACAACTGCTGCGTCGAGGAAATTATTCTTCAACAGAAAGAACCATTCATTGCCGAGAAACTCCTAGCCCCATTTCATTCACAATATACTTATATATCCTAAATTCAGGGTTCTACAATACAAGCTTGGGATACCTGTGGTTCCTGAGGATAATGAAATCTTTCAGAACTTATCTAATAAAGCTCGAAAAGCTTCACTGAAAGGAAACATTCCTATTCTTAAGTGAAATTAGTTTAGTTCATGAGAATTTGTTTCCTAGAAATCAACACTGACAGATAAGTCTTGAGGAGACTCAGGACTGTGTGGAGGGAGGAGGGGGCAGCACAGGGGTGTGTTTTAAAATGTAATCAACTGTAGCCACGAAGCTAAGTCAGTGATTAAGTTAACTCCACACAAGACAATTCCCCATCTATCATAAATTCCCAAAGGTCATTCAACCCAGGAGAGAATACTTCTTACCAAATAAATGTAATACATTTTCAGCCAAAAATATGAAAAAACTTAGCACAACTAGATTTTGGTCATCTCAACATTCTGTTTAATGACAACAGTGAAGAACTATTAACACATAGAAAAATTTTAGACAAAATCATTAAGGAGTTTATTCATAAAAGTATATTAATCTAATTCCATAATATATTAATAAAAAATAACTTTTTATATTTAATTTTTATTTTTGGTTTTGCACCTTTTTCAAAATTGTGAAAAGGAGACAATTTTCCTTCAATACAATAGTTAAGAGTTAAATCAGTGACTAAAGGCATTTTGGTTCAACTGATAATCAAGCTTAACATTTAAAAACAAAAAAAAAGAAATATGAATGCCTAAATGCTGTCTGTCCCTTCAGACACCTGATAAATTTATGGCCTTAAAAGAGGTACAAGAAAGGATTATTAGAAAAACATGATGGAAACTCAAATGCATCCAAAACCACAAATAATTATGTGGAGATTGTTGCCTTAATATTAAACACAATCTGCAGTAACAATAACATTCACTGCCTTTCTTTAGAATAGCCTGGCAAGTGCAAGAGATTGTTGTAAATCTCAACAAATGCATCAGTCAGTTGAGCGGTTAGCACATGATCGCACACTACAAAGAATTTGTATTCAAATAGCGAAGTCTTATCATGAACAAACTAATCAGGAAAAAAAGCAATTTTTGGCACATAAGGCCCATTAACACTATCATTGGTTTTGATAAATTGATAGCTGATCGATAGATACAAATCCTGTTAGAAGCCACAAAATATTTTTTAAACTGCATAATATAATGCCCAGTTATAATGGTATGGCATATTTACCAATGCACATACAAAAATAAGTCTTAAGACCAAGAAAAGCTTACTTGGCTTCTTCAAGGGACAGGCTTCACTGGGCTGTGATTTCCTTAATCCTTCCAAAGAAATTTGGAAAATTCTGTCCCTTTGCATTTCATTTGCTGTAAGGTGCACTTGTCTTTCAAATCTGTGGTCAGTGTAGAATTTGAAACATACAGTAGTTCCCTTCTGTCTTAAAACCAATGTTGGAGAATGCCTAAATGTAAATTTTCACTGCACAGACTATGAGCATTCCCTCCTTTTCAGCAGGGTCTGTTGTTTGACTCACACCACAAACTTCCACAAAAAGGAGGAATCAATCAGGAGCTGGGCTGTATAGGGGATGTCGGCAAACTGGACAGGTTCGACTTAAACAAAGAAACAGGAAACAAACATGATCTTAATAATCATCCAACCAGAGAGAAATTTAATAATCAGATCACCAAAACCTCAATCTTTCATGGAAAAGAAAGACTACCAGTAACACACCTATATGCATGTACACTCGTATGCACACCTCTTATGCATGTTTGTAAAGTATATAAATGATGGTAAGAAATATTCTCGTCAGTAAAATCCCCTTATAAGTGGGCAGTCATGAAACAGGCTTTTAGGCATAAAAACGTCTTATTTTTCTACTCAATTAACACATATGCACTATACTTTTACATAATTTATCGAGCACCGTTACACAGAAAAATTGAAACGCAGACTTCCTATGTACTCACCTTAAACCCTTTCAATCCTTAGATTTCAAAAATCAATTCTCTTTACAGTCTACATGCATTTCTTAAAATGTAAAATTATATATATAATTTATTTAACACCAATATTTTAATGAAAAATATCAGACACACTTACATTCCGTTTTGTATCATAGCTATTGCGCATTCCCGATGGACTTTGTGGGAACAAGGTAAAATTTGACATCCACTAAATGCATCCTACACAAACAAGAATATGAGAACAAACATTCCAACTTCAATAACAAAGTGTCCAAGATAACTGCAAGATGTGACAGGGTTCCTACGTACCCTTCTTCCAGGAACAAATTTCAAGGACAAATTTCAACGACTTTTCCAAGACTCAGGACTCCAAATTTCACCTTAAACCCTTTCATTCCTTAGATTTCAAAAATCAATTCTCTTTACAGTCTACATGCATTTCTTAAAATGTAAAATTCTGAAACTTTATAGCTTTCAGAGTATAGCAGATTTCCAGGACTTTCCAGTCCTGGAAAATGTCAAAATAAATTTACAGGACTTTCCAGATTTTCCAAGACCTGTACATGCAAACCCTGATGTGAGCATGCTGTGTATTGTGGTGAAAAAAGTTGATCACTCTGTAAAAAGTATGACAGATAGGCTCACTAGATAGAAATGTGCATGATAACTGACAGGATACTTCAAAATGACACCTAGACGGTAAGTATAAAACCTAAAGTTACGTATTTTCTTTAATTGATTAGCTCACCTCAAGACAAATACAACATTCATCATGGCCAGAATCTGGTCTACACTTGTGTTTTCCTTGCAGACGTTTATCAAGACACACATTACACACATCACAATGAAAAGACTTATCTTTGTGTATCCTATGAGAGAGAAAACAAAACAACTCTCCATTAAAGTCATGTACACACACTGATATCCAAAATTCTACAATGCTTTACCCTGACACTATAACATTCATATGCAAGTTCTTTAAAATGATCTCTTTAAATTTCCTATGATACAAGAATATTTTTTCTGAAATGGGGAGCTTCTTTAAGTTCACAATCATTTTGTTTATTAGCATAACCTTTCAGTTGGATTTAAGGGGAGAATTAGATGTTTATCATTCTGAGGGTAGCAGGGATTTGTCAGCAAAAGGAGCAATACTTCATCCGAGGGATGGCTGTACACAGTGGATGCCCTTGGATAACAGAAGAAACCACCTTTCCATTGGACCATGCATACAAATTAACCATTTTACAACACTCCTCAGTGATACAGGTAGAGGGTAAATAAAGCTGTAGCCAACATAATTATGGGAGAGTGTTTCTTCTAGATATTGTTTAAAAAGCAACTTACCTACATATCCCGCATTTATCACAGTGATAAGGGTTTTTGTCTATACTTGTGAAATGCTTGCAGATTCCACAGAAATACGCCGACATCTTTGCTCCACAGCTACGGCACTTGGCACTGTCTTCACCAATCTGAAAGAGGGATACAACATATTTGGGTGAGTGGGGGAAATCTTTTAGTTTTGCATGGTAAATTACAGTATCACAAATAAGATCAGTTGGAATGATCAGAGAGTATGTAACACAAATTATCTCATTACTAATTTTATAGGGAGCACAGCTCCAAGTTCATCCATTTTTAAAGCCAGTTCTGTAGCAAGCTGTGATGTTTTTACCACCAAACATACACAGTGAAGCTTGAAAAAAATCAAAACATATACCAATAATAGTTATGACTGACAATGCAAAAAAAATACCTTCATTTACCTCTTGTTCATGATGACAATAGCTGCATTTAAGGTGAGTTGCATGACTTGCTTTAGCTTCCTCATTGTCACATTCTTTGGAGTTGTTATGGCAACGGTGACATGAATAGAAGTTGGTACAGCAAGGAAAACGAACTCTACAATGACGTTGGTAATGTTCACAAAGCCACAAAGACTGTCCAGTCACTGGTTCCTGCTGTTGAGGCCATCCTCTGGCTTCCTCGAGCTCCCTTGCCTCTCTTTCTCTCTTCTTTCGTGCTCTTTCTGCTCGTATTTCATACTCTTTTCTTTCAATTTCTCGGCCAAACTCTTCTCTTTCTCGTAGCACTCTTTCAACCATAGTGCATGTTTCTTTCACACGTTGTTCCAATTCGAGCAAGGAGTTGTCAGTGGACTCCATTGACTCGGTGCCATAGTTCCTGTTGGGTGCTGAACCCTCAGACAAATCAGAGTGTTGATCATGATTTCCTCCTGTGTTAGCACCAGATGTTAAGAAAGAGCCCGAAGAGGCAACATTACCATTTCCTTCTCTATGGGTTCCAGAGGCTAAATGATTGCCAGTTGTGTTCAATGCATTGTTTGAGCTCCTATGTCCATGTGTATTCACACTATCCCTACTTGATGAGACTAGTGGCAAACAAGTATTTCTACCATCTTCTAACTCAGATAAAAGTCTACTGTCTGATCCATTAGCCCTTGCCCCTAAAGATGAAGTTGGGAAATCTGTTGAAGCACTAGGCTGGTTATCATTAATTTGAGCATTAACTGATGAACTTGCCAATAATCCTAAATTAAATGAGTTAAAGTTACTGTTTGTACTTATATTAGCTCCAATATAACTATAGGAGGGTCCTGGTAGAAGTACTGAATTACCATTAAGTGTATTATTAAATGGGTTTCCATCTTCACCATTCCCTCTGATAGATGCTCCTGAGGAATATGATGGGCAATATGTTGGGTCTGGCCTTAGAGCAACTTGATAGTCACCGGGGTACAGTTTTGCTCTGTTAAAGTTGGCCAAGTTTGTCATGCCCTCTATATGAGAATAAGCTCCTTGTAATGAAACATCTTCCACCAACATCTTCTCTGCATGATTGTAATACACACTTTCATGAAGATGTTTGTCTTCAGAATGTCTTGCTAAGAATGTATTGGCCACTCCTGCAACTTGGTGAGGAACCAGGTCAACCAGTAAGGAGTAGGACAAAGTTGGTTCTAATGATCTGCTTCCTTTAGGGGGTCTGTCTCTTGGTCTGGCCCCAGAATGTTCCCATTCATTGGACTGATTGCTTGTGTAACAATCAGACTCATCTATCACTGTGTCTATTTGGTCAGCAAACCTTGCAGCTGAGAGATTTTGCTTCTGAGTTGTATCTCTATATGGGATAGGACTTTGATTTTCACAAGGAACCTCTTCCAGATTAAAACTACCTTGAATTCTATTGGGAATACTGACAGCACCATCTACAAGATCACCATTCCAAAAATCATTGAAGCTATCAAGGTCTTCTGTTTCTCTTTCACCATTTGCAGGACACTGTTTCTTCAGCTCTTTCCTTTCAAAATGTTCATATGCCATGGATGATGACAGAGACCTTTCTTGGTTCTCCTTTCCACTACCTGAGACATCACCTGAGCTCTCCCAAGCCTTTGCAGTTTGATTAAAATTTAGTGGCGTAGTAATTGAGCACGAGTATAAATCTCCAGTTGATGGCAGCACATCATTAACAGAATTAGTTGATGACTGTGACAAGCAAGAAACTGAACCACAACTTGATAACCTTGAATTACTAATGCCTGTCATAGAACTTGAGTCAGGTAAATCATCTGCATTTAAATTAAAGGAAGTCAAACCACCATCATCACTGTTAAATGCTTTTCCACTGGAATAGTTACAAACAGTACTTTCATTGCTTTCTCTGTATTCTTTCGATTCATCAGAGGTTTCATCAGCTACATTATCTGACCTTTGAGGCCCTTCACGCATCTGATTTCCTTCTGCACAAGAGAAAGTAACTCTCTCTGATAATTCACCATTTCCATGGCACAAAGTTTTGAGTTGTTCTGCAAGATCAAAAGAATCCATTGTTACTGAAACATCTAATACCTCCCAACAAAACCAATTATTTCCAAATTTCATGCCTAAAACAAAGAAAAATCTTTCCTCATCCTGGCAAGGCTACAGTTACTAACTTAGAGTATCATCTTAAAAGGTTGTGTTACTCATGACTAATTTTACCCAAAATAAGGTCAAATCATGTACCAATTCAGAAGCCTTTCTCCAGTTACAATAGTACCAAAGGTTGATAGAAAGAACGTTTAACATGTCACATACCACATTAATTTCAAGGTTTCCCTCCAAAGAAGCACACATTTGATACAAATACATTACAGTGTTTTTCACTTAAGCAAAGCACAAGAAAAATTGGCCCCATGTTTCAACAATAACATGGTCTTCTTGTCAGCGGAAACTGGCTCTTAAGCCCTTTAAGCAGGCTTTAATGCAACTATTGGTGATGCACTGTTCTTGATATTTGGTTATACCTTCAGAAACCAGGAGGATTGGCCATGTTAACAAAGTTATTTAAGGATCAAATCTGTCACCAAACTTTTTGGCATCTCACTCAAATAATAATGTGACTGGTTCCAGAAAATATCCATACCCCCCATGGAAGGGATTGGATTTTCCAGGGGGGGAGGGGAGTGACCATAGGGAAATAATTATTTCCAGAGGGTTCTTCTGGTGCATAAGAGAGTAACAAAGAAAAAACACAAATATTTACCATGACAATTTATTTGCAAAGATATAAAATACAAGCAATTAATGACCTGCTTGAAACTTATATAAAAACATCAATTTTATGTTCAGTCAACTTCTTTTATCCTTCAAAGCACGTGATTTATGACAATATATGGAAGAGAACCTCCAGATATAACGAAACCCCGTTTTAGCGAGCATATTTTCCCAGTCCCTTGGCCCTTCGTTACATTAAGGTTCAACTAGATTCATCTACAAAATAAAACGTTTCACGCGATCGGAATAGTAGTGATTACAAAGGTGTTTGTCCGGTGTTTTTTGCAAATCTTTTATCTTTCAGTTTTCAGTCATACTAGTTCTTATTTGTAAAGGATATTCACTTTTACCGCAGGTTCACATTCATGCATTTCAGCAATGGCGTTTATCTTGGTGATGGTAGAGCAGCAAAAGAACACTTTCCGAATAATCTCCATTTAAGGCTAAATAAACATACTTGCCCTATGGTTCATGAACACCTTTGTGATCAGTTCACAAAGGCACGAACGATAATCCATTTAACGTGAAAAAGAACGGACTGATACCTCCCGCAATGCATTTTTAAGTCTTTAGGCCAAGCTTCAAGAAAACAGTTCACAAAACAGTTCTAAAGTTTGGGTAGTGCCAGATTTTAAACAGTTGTTCAAATTGTAGCAAATGGATACCTTTAGGGTGAGGAATAAATAGTAATTCTTTTATCTTGCACGCTTTGGTAGTTTATTTTTTAGCCAGCCAAATGAAAACTTTAGAGAACACAAAACATGGGAAAAAAAAACTTTTAATTGGTTACATTCTTCTGCACTTGACTGTTTCTCTATCACAAGGAAGTTACAGGAGTCTTTTCCAGAACCTCAAACTTTGCGTGACAATTTTGTTATCAACTGAATCAGCGACGGGCAATTTTAGCACTATAACTCAAATATGCAAATTTGGTAGAATTAAATTTGATACTCGCACTGTCTGATCGCTCGACAAGGTCCTGATCTCTTTGCTTTCTTCTTGACGCAGTGAGAGAAAGTACATTTATATTTCCCACCCAATCTTGCATTTCATTTGCCTGTGGCCAAGAACTTTTTCAACAATTTCTTCATCACTAAAGTGCATAAGGAATTTGCTCATCTGTTGTAGAATTCAACAGAAAGCTGAAAATACATAAAACTCCAAATTTGTTCGTGACTCGAGCGCGTAAAGAATTCGCATAGGGAATTTGCTTTACCTGTTAAAGAATTCTACAAAAAATACACAAAACTCGCAAAATTTGGCATCCTAGTGAAAAAAATACTTATCTGTTCCTTTCAATAAGAGATAGCAATATTTCCAGTAACAACTTATCTGTTTCTTTCAATAAGAGATAGCAATATTTTTTTGGAAATTCAGGAGGGGGGGTTAATTTTGGGGCCAATTTCAGAAAATCCAGAGGGGAGGGGGGGTCTTACGGCAAATCCCTTCCATGGGGGGTATGGATTTTTCTGGAACCACACAATCCCAGTAATATACGCCTACCCTGAATATGCAGCACCACCACAAATTCCTTCACAAGCTTCAATACTACAATATTGCAATATCTTGAGGGACTAGATGCAAATTCTTTAAATGCATGTATAGATTCAGACTTAGAAGAAGCATACTCCACATTTAGTGACCATCAAAAATTTTTCAGATGTCATTATTCAAGCAATAAAGAAAATTTTTATTGTATTGATGGCAGATCTGTCAGACAACTGTGGTGAAAACATAATAAAATTGTTTAGAGGACACTTCAAGTTTTAAACTTGTATGCATTTTTTTTACCTGATCTGTCCATATAACCTGCACCATGAGGTAGTTCCCCTTCATAAGATGTCCCTCTGGTTGCATCAAGTGTACTCTGCTCTTGTGCACGTTCATTTAGCAACTTGCGACGCTTTTCTTTACTTTCAAGGAACAACTGTCTTCCCACCTCAGCTTCAAGTCCTTGTTTCTCTTCCTCCATTCGAGTCAATTTCTCTTTCAGTTGATTTATTTCATCCTCTTGTTTGTGACAACGATCCTGATAGACAGCAACTTCATCTTGTAACTGGCTGACAAGGCTGTTAGTAGCATTGATAATATCATTGGATCTCTGCAACTGGCTGACAACAATGCTGTTTTTTAGACAACAAGGGCATGTACAATTCAGCTGTTCACTCCGTTTCAACTCTTGGTAGCTCTGTTCCACACCATCATGTACAACCACAATTTTTTCTTCCCGTGACAGTAAACCTTCTTTACTTGAAATCCCATTAAACTCAGCCTGTAACTTTGCTGAACTCTCAAACAAAGGCCTGACATTAGCATATCCCTCTTGAAAAGTGTTCTCTGTCAATTCAACAGATTTTTCTCCAAATACAGATGGTGACCTCCATAAAGGGTAATCTGGTATTGTGTTTGCATCACAACATGTAGGACTTGATGAAATCAAGTTCAGAGATGATGCTGAGCCAACTGATAAAAGAGATTTACTAACCTGCCCATCACTAATGCACTGAAGGTTGGGTGTGCAAGTTTCATTTTCATTTTCAGATTTAACCGTAATTAAGCTACCATTGACCTTGTTGGACTGTTCTGCAAAACAGCTTTCTGCCTGCAATCTACATCGCAATTGTGTAAAGTTTTCTTTACTCAACTTTACCAAAGCATCAACTGGGGAAACTTTGAAGGCAACTTGCAATTGTCCCAATGTTGTGAAGTAATCAAATTTTCTACACATTCTATTCTGAAGCAAATAAAGCTGATCCATTGCTAAAGCTATGGTCACTGCTTTGTTTCGTATGGGGCCTTGAAGACTGTGATGAAATTTTCGACTGGGAAGTTGGACATATAATTTACAAAATAAACGAACCTCTCCTGACTTACTAGGCTGAGCATGAACTTTAGTTTTGAGGAGGACTTTCAACAGAGTTGTGCAATCTCTTACATGGTGGTACATACCATTACGAAATTCTTTCTTGATACAATTTTTCACAAGGCCAACATCTCTCACAGCTCCAACACCATCAAAACAAACGAAGGTGAAGGGTCCCTCAGCTTCTTCTTCAGTTTGTTTTAGGTGCCTTTCATTACTTGTAGTGAAATATGAACCAGGTGATGGATGCTTCAGCTTCTTGCTCACTTTCTTTGCCCCTTGCAAATATTTTTCAGCCACAGAATAATAGTTGCTTTTGTCAAGTTCCTCAGGAGGAAATGCCTCTGCTCCAGGGGTATTCCTATTCATGACTGGTTCAGGATTCATCAGCTGTACCAAATTCAAATTGCTCTGCCAGGTAAGATTGGTCAATGTTCTTTTACTGCCTAAATCAAACAAGAAAAAACATGCTCACAACAAAATTGCCTAAATACAAAACTGTTACAAATGGCCACAGCAAATTTGCCATCCTTTCAGTAAATAAACATGCACAACCCCTAAAAATAATACAGAGAAAGTAAAATGACACAAGGAACAGGAGGTAAGATAAATATCCCTATCCATGAATGAAAACAGAGGCCTGTTTTTTTTTTCTCATTATATTTTAAGTATTTTTAATTATTTTTACATTTCCAAACACATCTTTCAAATATATTTAAAGATAAATTGACTTCAAACTACAACATAATGATGACTAAAGTTTTTATTTATACTGTTCTCATCCATTTACTTTGTTCTCAAAGGCCTAGCCCACCCAAGTGTACAAAATTACCAGTCAATGTTGGGACAGGAATGTTTTGCAGTCCTTGTGTTTACCTTGTTTGACATATCATGCCAAAGTCTCTGATAATCACCTCATAGTACAGAGGAAATTCACTGATTATTTGCAATGAGAATCAAGAGTGAAAGGATAAGCTGCATAAGCAAGACACAAGAAAAATCACAATCAAATTTGGGTATTGGCATAATCTCATTATGGCTTAATTTTATAAAACGAAAACAATTGCTGCATTTATAGTCCTAGATTGAAGGTTTTCTCCTCTTCAAATATCCTGTTATAATATATATCCTCATCTCTACAAATTCACATATGTACTACTTCAAGGCACTAATAAGAAGAGCTGAGGGATCACTATTTTATATATAAAACACAAAAATATTACAGAGGTCTGTTGGGTGACAAAGGTTGAGCAACAATTCATTGTTGAACCGTCCCTTACATTTATCTGAAAAGTGTTTTCATTTCTATTGACACCCATTTTTTATGGGAACTATTCTGTTACTGTTTGATGACTAAAAAATTTAGGTGCCATTAAAATGTGTTGAACTATTTTGGAGGCATGAACAGATTATAGAGCATAGATATTCAAATTCAAGCTTTGATCATGCATGAATGCATGAAAGGTTCTTGATATCAACTGAATTCTTTGATTCGAAACAAATGTTGCCATAAAGATCCTTTTGTAAGTGGAATGATAAGTGTGGGGTCAACTCTAGTATGATCTTAATATAGATCTATGTTTTAGTGTCCATCTATGTTTTGGCCTGAACACAAGTAAAAACAAAAGCACAAGCACAACAAGGATCTTTTCCATTTGGCATATAAACTTTATGCTTGCCATTGTGCTTGCCATTGTGCTTGCACTTGTACTTGCATCACTCGCAAATACCAAGCATAAAAGGTGAACTGGCACCCCGCCATCAGTCATGGAGACTTTGAGGCACTGTTGAAATTAATGAATTCCCAAGGAACAAGCGGTGGTTTCATGCCCAGTCAAGCAAGTATGCAGTAGGGATATATCCCATCTAATCACATCACATTTAGATAAGAATATTATCTCCCAAGAGTATGTCTTTTATACAGTCATCACAATTAATGTGGAAGCGAAATAAGAAGGATATTAAAAAAGCAAAACTAAGAGAAACCTCATTCACTCTGCCTGCATGGTGCATGGAAAAGTCAGTAACAGCTTAGTTATCAATTGGTAAGAATAAAAGAGTTTGTAATGCCTTTGACCCCTTTTGAAAAATGATCATTTCAGGGAGAATAATATCACCAGCAGAACTTTCCTATGCACAGGTTTAACCCACACAATTTTTTTTGTTGCTGCTGTAGAGTGCATGATAAAGTGTATATAAAAACATCAATTCTGTAGTTTTTTAATAAAACATGCTTGTAGAAAAATTATATTACTGATACCGAAATTTTAACGAAAATGTTTTGCTCATAGATAAGAGAGACATATGCAGGGTTCAAAATATTGAAGGGTTTATATCAGATTTTTCACCTTATTTCATTGAATAGCTTCCAATTATCAGTATTGCTGTGATTTCAAACCATGGTATTTATAGGTTTGGTTTTTGCCCCATGTGTGAGACATTAAGCAAAGTGAGGTTCACAACGCTACACTTTCTTGTTGATCTTTCACATATTAGTTGTTCAACTCTGTTAATCGTTATATAAGTATATTTAGTTTGACATCATCTTCATTAACACTTCTATTTCTTCTTAGGTAGACAACAAGGCTCTTTGTTTGGAGCAAAAATGGTTACAAACACATACAGTGGAACTAGTGTTTGCCTACCAATGCTGTGTTTTTTTGTTTTGTTTTTTTTACAGTTGTTTCCCAGTATTCTCCTACACGTTGTCTCACTGAGCTCTAAATCCAAAATAATTTGCACAAGTTATACACATCTTTGTGGGCCCATCAGCTCACATAATAACTTCTGTCAATAGTTTGAAAATCAACATAAAAATTATGAACAAATTTTATACAATGCAGCCTTGCCTGACCTCACCCTCAAAAGAAACAATTACAGCAATTCAGAAATATACAAATCATCTATAACAATAACAACCACAACACTTAGTTGTAGCAACAAAATGTTGATCTCTAGTTTGAATTTGAAAGCCACAACAAAGGGCAAAGAATATTTGAAACTTATGCCTAAGCAAAACACAGAACATCGCCTCAGCCCAATATCACTAGCTACACAGAGATATGGTTGAGAACAACAATTCAGGCAACTGTCTTGTTCAAATTAGGTTTGAGGTTTTTGTAAGGTTGATTATGTGTGCTAAAATGTTTCTTCCATCTTTCAGTGATCAAAATTTCAAGGATGTGGGCCACATAATATAACTTCTCAACCATTATATAAGTATATGTTCTCTTTTCAATAATGGTATCAATGCATTTTCCTTCAAGTCCGCAACTTTCCTCAATGCTAAACTACCTACGCACGAAGCAATAGGCAATAACTGTGACAGTTTGCAAATACACATGATCACAAAACAGTCTGTTATTGGTTCCGTCACTGTCTTGTGACTTTGAGCAGACCAATCACCTGCCTGTTGGTTATTAATTATTTTGTACAAAAAATTAAGAAAACACTGAGATGGTGCAATCATATATAGTGAAGAACATCGAAGGGCAGTAACCCACTAACTTATGCCTGAGTTAGTGGGCTGAATGGAAAGGCAAACCTCTCCCCAACAGGACAAGGCATTCATGGCATAATTTTGATCGAAGAAGTCACTGACTATGTTTTCCATGGCAGATGGAGGTTACTTGGACTAAAATGCAACGTATGTTAGACTTGGCTTCGTACTAGTCAAACGCTTGATGGTGCAACACGAATCTGCAATATGCTGTAAGATTTCATTTGATAGAGACTCGGTTTTGTTTCACTTATTATTTTCTACCCTCTGGTTAAAACACGTATGTTGAAACCAAAGCGAGTAAATGGAATTATGCTTTTCACAACTTCAACACGATCTCAAGGTACGTAGTAGCATGATGCTTTCTTCTATATTTACAACAACGCTGCTTTCAAGCTCTGCCTGCGAAAGGAAAAATTTTCCACTTCTTATAACATATCTCTGCACAAAACAGAGCTAGGTTTGAAGCAGCGTATATCGAGCGGCTCGTTCATTTCGTTTCCCTAGCTAAGCGGTGGGTGAAAGAACAAAGAATAAGTTACATATATACGCCTTTGAAGTCTTCACCGAGCGCCGGATAATGTAGAATGCTCAAGCTCTGAGAGTTTGTCCGTCGAAAAAACCAAATGTTAAAATGTTTAAATCGCTTGACATTTCTTAACAAACATCTGATATTCCTTAGAAGTTAAGAAGAACCTTTTGGTGGAAAATCTGTGAACATTTCTAACTGCTGAGCGTTTAGTCTATATTTGAGACAGTGCCCGGCTGCTAGGCATTTAGCCAGGGTTTTCATTATTTAGTGGCCTGTGTGGTTCGGCAGCGGACGAAAGACCGAGGAGTTATGAATGTGCGTGTATTGTAAGGCTTAGGTCTCAATACGTTCAGGCTCGTTTGCCTCCTGACCAGCACCAGACGAGCAAACGAACTTAGTTTAAAGTTGCCCTGACTATTCTGCTGGTTAGCCACTACAACAATACTAACAACATTTATCTTAAATTCAAGAACAAAAACTTGGGTAGTTACTTGAGATTTTAGTAAAGCGGAGGAAGTGATAGCCTTCATTGCCACTGTTCCACAGAAACATGCAGTTCATATAATTATTTCTATCAGGCAACGAAATCTTTGAGTAATTTCTCCTTTTATAATAATTTCTGTTTCATTGATATATCTATTTATCTTTACGCGACTGTGGACATGGGCGACAAAAATGAAGGAGAAGGATAAAAACAAAACATAAGCTTATGCTAACATTAAATTATTTAGATTAAAATTTTTTTAGTAGGTAGAATGCTTAATCGTGTAAGTTGTCATAAATTCAAGAAAAATCTGGACCACACAGAATGAAAATATTCTCCTAACTACGAACATCAAACGATTCAAACAACTGGTCTACGATGATGTATAAAAAGGTACCTCTAATTTCGCTCCGTTCCACTCTCCATACTCAGTATTTCCACTGCGTCTTGACTAAAGTCATCGATTTAATTCTCCACTTGGACTGTTCTGATTGGACGTCTGGGACAAAGGAACATAATTAATAAACAATCAGACATACATACATAAATACACACTTTATTTATTCCAAAAGCAGACTGTATGTACACTAAAAAGGAACAGGAAAATGATGCTTCTAGAAAAGGAGGTTAAGAGATTATCCCCATGTGAAAACTCCCTAAAAAATAAGTTTAAATGAAAATAAAATGCTTAGTTACCGCCCTCCCGGTTAGCTCAATAGGTTATAGCGCCGGATTGTCTTGTGCGGGAGGTCGATGGTTCGAGCCCCGGCCGGACCAATACTCGTGGTCTTAAAATAACTGAGGAGAATATGCTACCTTTCTATAATATCAAGAAATGGATAGATATTCTAGTCTTCTCGGATAAGGACGAATAAACTGTAGGCCCCGTCTCCTGCAGGGTTAGGGGTAGGAGACGTTAATTTCCCACGCACGAGATTACTGTGTGGTTAATCAAAATAAATTAACGTATATGTGAACGATCCTTCGCAGTAAAGCACTATTTGAGCAATAGTGAAAATCAGACCTGAAAAAAATTTCAGGCCTGTACGGGATTCGAACTACTGACCTCTGCGATACTAGTGCAGCGCACTACCAATTGAGCTAACAAGCCAACTGGGAGCAGGCCATCAAATTAATTCGACATAAACCCGTAGATGATAAATCAAACAACAACAAACATATGAAACATATGTATGAACTGCGGTTATGAGACGTATATGTGAACGATCCTTCGCAGTAAAGCACTATTTGAGCAATAGTGAAAATCAGACCTGAAAAAAATTTCAGGCCTGTACGGGATTCGAACCACTGACCTNGAAAACTTGCCGCGCGGTCCCTGTAGTTGAGGCCATTAAGACCATGAGTAGACTTGTAGCACTCTAGCAAAGATAGATAAGACCTCCTTGATTGAAGACTGGATCATCTAAGCATTGCCGGTCTTTCTTCGTATGGTAAGTCCCGGGAGAGCGTATTTCGAGGCCCTACGTTGTAGTTGTTCAAGAGAAAAAAAACAAGAACACGTTCGGAAAAATAAGAACAGGGAACAGGGGGCAGGGAACAGGGAACAGAAAATAAGGAACACGGAACAGAAAATAAGGAACAGGGAACAAGAAATGGAGAACGGAGTACGGAAAACGAGAAACAGGGAACAGAGAACAGGGAGCGGGAGTCTGGGATCGAAAGTGCCTCGAAGACGAATCGAGAGTAAGTAAAGGAACTGAAAACTCTTGGTCATCTCCAAACGGTTCATACTATTCGCAGCTTCAGCCGATCTCAACTTTATGTTATTAGATAGATGTCGTTTTTCCTCGCTTGTCATCAATACTAATTTGAAATTTCAGAGACATTGGAGCGTCATCGACATCGAAATCGACGTCGGAGATACACAAAAATATCCTAAAACAGCCAGAGATTCGACAATTCAAAAGTAATTTATCTTTTCTTCCCGTATAGGCCAGAATGCTGGCATATGATTGAGAGCGAACTAGAGGCTCTAACTGTAAACCCTCCAAGTGAAAACCTACAAAGTTGGCCTGGAACAGAGTCTAGCCCCATTTCCAAGGAGGACCTGTGTGCACAATGCGAACAGACAATATGGGCATCATTATCGTCATCATCATCATCATCATCAAAGGGTTCGTATAGCCTGAGTAGGAAGAGGTAAGAGACGCCAAGACACAGGGTATGGCGCTGGAGGCTAATGGCTGTGTCAGGTTTACCTTAGTAGCATAAGACTACTCTTAAAGGCTGTCGAGGGCTTGGAAGACTCGAGAATTCCTTGTCTTAAGAGACAGATTGAAAAAGCATCGCACTGCTCGCCTGCTGGCTTGGCCTCCTAAGGGCCTTTTTTCCTTTCCCTTCACAGCGTTAAGCTTGATTGGCCATTAGTGAGAGATCAGGAGAATGATTCATTTAATTTTACCTTTCTAGTTGTGGAACAAGGATATCGATTTTCAGAGGACAATTCAATTACATTTTGATGTGTTTGATACAAACTGCGTTGAGTGGAAATGGCAAACCTATATAAATTATGGCGCAGAAGCAGATTTGGAAAAGAACAGTCAGGAGCGACAGGAGAGAAATCTGGAGAACATACCAACATGAGGGATGAAAAGGAGGGAAGAACCATCAAAACTCTTCTTGAAGCACAGGCAGAAGACTGGTTTAAAACCAGGAGATGGAAGGTTCAGTTATCTAGTGACGGCTTGCTCATGACAGCTTGCTCGTTCATATGATTATCACATAAACGTTTCTGTGCTCACACGAAAGAAGATCCAAACACTTTTCGCTCCAAACAGTTTCTAAACGATTGCTCAATAGTCCAAACCTCGCACAAGTAGAAAAGCTTTATTCGTTCGATCAATATTTTGCCTGTGGATATTGTTTTAAGGTTTTGATTACATAACAGTCACAAAATTATCCATTGAGGCTGCAATGACTTGTTAAACGGGAAACGTTCCAGAAAGGGGTTGTTCTTTCATGCCTTCTGCAGTCGAATTTGATATCCAATAAGGGGAAAACAGAAAGTAAAGAACACTTATTCATTTCTTAGGATCCATAGCTATCGACTTTGTTCGGGGGAAAAACACAGTAGTCGAGTCAGAACAGATCTGAGCAAAGCTGGAGCCTTATTCAGACTTTTCCATTAATCTACAATCGCGGAAAACAGCAATTAGGAATATTACATTCAGTGCTTACAGATTCAGAAGCCCGTATCCCATTTTAAATATCGGCTTAGTACAGAACTATTACGCTCTTGAAGAGATAAGCTGTGCGAGTAGTTGATGAACGACTGGGGAGGTCACGAACTGAGATCTAGAAATAAGGAAAAACTTTTGCAATACTAACCTCTCTAACACGTTTTTGATTAGACACGAGAAAAAAACCAATAATATATACATTATGCTAGAAGTTTGCTACCTGGCTTCGAAAAAAGATTGAAGAATCTGTAAAATGCAAGTTTTACATTTTTATATTGAGACCGGCGACTTGATGGCTAATGCTTTCGTGGTTTCCTTTTTCAATGTAGTTTTTAAAGAACATGCTCTGAATATTCCGTGTTGTATAGTGTTTCCTTGACTATAAGCTCTAGGTTGCCTTTTATAAGTAAGCACTTACTACTCAGATAAGCTAAATCATGAGTTTAATCTCAAACAGAAATCAAAAGTACGTTGCCTATACCTTGACTTTTAAGTCGTGTCGTAGATACATTTTCCCTTGCGTGATCACGATGAAGCACTAAATACGTAAATACATTTCCTTGAGTGAATAATGTCACTTGACTGTTTTTAACAGTGCCCGTAATTAGCATCGCATTACAAAAAAGGAAAGCGTCACCACCATTAATCATGCAGAGGGCCAAGACAAATAAACAAATTTCTTTTTACTCGAAACTTCATTTTTCTATAACTTCTTTCAGAGATGTAATTTTCCCCGACTAAGAGTGAAATTCCTGACTTTTCCTAGGCCTTGTAGTAATTCATTTTTCCATGACTTTCCTTACCTATGACAACTGCGATTAACTCGCCGGAAACGAGTCACTATTTCTGTATCAAATATCTTCGTGATGATCATAACATTGAAGAACAGGCGCCATCTTTCGATCTCCATGTTCGGCTGTCTACAAACTTAACATCATCGTCATCGAAATGTTCAGAGCACACTTTGGTACTACTTTGGTACTAGTGACTGCCACGGGCGACTGATTAATTTTATTCGTCAGAAAAAACTCTAACCGCACAATTTCAGACACGAAACGAAACGACACGATTAAAACTACAAATAAAACAGCCAACGAAAACCTATTAAAATAGAAACTAAGCTAAATACACAAGGAAAGATACAACGAAAACAACAATGAAAACTACATAATACAAAACTTACATTTATTGATATGTTGTGGACTTCCTGCCTGGTGGCGAAATAGCTGCACGAAGCGAGTGACCAAAAAAATCGAACACTGGACAAATACTGAACAAAATACTGGACAAAACTGAACTACGCTGAACAATACGGTTTAAATACATGCTACGTTACGTAACGTTACGTAATGACACAAAGAAAGCGCACACAAAATTTACTACAATTAGCACTGCTTGAACGAGAACAATAAACAAACGAAAAAGAATATTAAGGCGTTTGCGATCTACACCTAGGACTTTTTTTGGATTTTTTCTTTTATCATCTTAAAAGTCAATATCTGTTTTCAAAGAAACTGAGGAACAACCATCACATTTAAAAATCAGACGAGACGAAATTGTTTTTCTGGCCCCGGTTGTTCGAAGGGTGAATAACGTGGTTCGCCGGATGAATCTCTAACCGCCTTTTTAACAACTGCGCCCTAGACAAGAGCTCTGGACATTTATTCACACGGATTTAAAACAAATTCGTGCAACTAGCAGTTGAAGAAATAGCATGGACACACGAGTTCTAAAGCTTAGGATCCTTCGAGTATTTATGAAAGACAAATCCGAATTTGTGAAACATTGTAGCGAAAACAGTTTTTTGAACAGCTACGGCCAGTATTCGAGAACTCGAGAAGTTTATTAACTACAGCAATTCTCCAATAAAGTAGGCCACGTGTCTAGGAAATTAGACATAATTTAATTCTGTCTGTGAGAACCCAATCGAACAAGTCACAAATCGATTACGGACACACTAGAAAAGAACCGTTGAAGGTGAAGCCGGACACGTTGCAAACGCTCCGCCGCCTCTGACGCAATAACATAAATAAGGGAGCGACGTACCTGTGCAATGTGAGTCATTGATTAAAACAGTTTCGTGCAATGGCGATGACTGTCATATCCAGATGAGTTTTACTCGGTTCTCAAGGTGGGAAGACACGAGAAACAAAAGTATGAATATTCCATCTGACTTCCTCATGAGTGCGTTTTTCTAGGGGTTTTGTTTCGTTTTTGAGTTATTAAAAGAAAAAAAAAAATCTGTGTTAGCGTATAGAGTGGTGTATTTTGGTGAAATGTAATCTGATCGGCGCAATTTGGTGTATCTCTAAGCAATCTGATTGGCGCATTTTTTTTTTGTTTTTTTTTTTTTGGTGTATCTCAAAGCAGTGTGATTGGCGCAATTTTTTGGTGTATCACAGACCAATTAGATTGTAGTATTTTTCTATGTCGCACCAATCAGAGCGTTCTTGCTAATTTGTGGTTTGACAGGTCTTCAAATTTCAGCGAATCAACGCGTGACTCGGAGAGAGCGGTTCGCGAATTAAGGAAACGTACTAGTCGTGTTGGGAAAGCGGTGGAGTTGTGATCTTTGTACGACTATGGTTATTCTTCGTTATAAAGGAGACTGACTGGCACATGATAAAAATTTTGAATCAAATATTGCTTGAGATGTTGATGGGAACAACTTTAGAATACCCGACTACTATTGGCCGCTATGAATGCATTGCTCTCGCGTTCCCGATGTCGAAAAATAATGTTAAAAGAGAGGACATACAAACCAGTGGTCCCGCATTCAAGTTTTCCTGAAGTGGAATAATGAAATGATATCGCCGTTAAACTGTTACATCGGCAGTCCCGCGCTCACAAAGTCGAAGAATGATAAAACGAGAGGGTCGTTAAACTAGTGCTCTCGTAATTCAGCGCTTTCGAAGTCGAAGAATAATTAAAGGAAAGGGGAAGTTTACCTAGGGTTGACGCAGTCCCGCGCTTACTTTCTTTCGTTTTCTCAACTAAGGGATATTTCATTACTATATATGAATTCCACTTTGAATTTTTCCGAAAGTCCGAGGTAAGAATGACATCTACAAGAGTTGTGAGCTCTTCTACCCAATGTAATGGCTGTCCTTCGTGAGGTCTTTATCGCTATGATCTGTCGGGATTAGAAAGGTCTTCAGGGAATTTTTTCAATCAATTGCAAATTAAACGCACACACTATCAGCTAAAGGCCTAACATGAATTTAGCACTAGGGCGTGTTGTTTTGGAAGGGCTAGTTCTGCTAACCCTGGTAAAACTTGCGCAATGCATTTGCATAAAAATTAATCATATTAGATTGGTAATCTTGTTTTTTGCCTTGTGGCTGCTCTTTTTGCAGAGGTTGAAACGACCACCAAGTTGTATTTACTTTCTGCGTCGGCTGCCATGTTAAATATCCGTTTCTTTTCTTATTAAAGTTCTCCATGAATTAAATATTATTTAAACCATTCTTTCCCGCGACAATTGCGTGTGTACTATTTACCCGTCAGTATAGACTAGACTTTCTCAGATAAAATGCCATTTTCCAGTAAACAATGTAAATTTTATGACATAAGTCTACCTCACTGAAAAAATTTTCACAAGAAACATGGTGGTACGGTCGGTCAATTTTCCACGCAACTCTCACGTGCTTAGACGTTTTCTACCAATAATATTCGCTTTTAGCTACTTTGGACTTTACCCTACTGCGTGTCAATTTCCTGTAAACAACCTGCATTTTATCACGTATTTCGCTCGCACAGGGCAAAGTCCAGATAGGCAACAACCAATCAAGGAGCCCACGTTGTTTTGCTTTGAAAACTGATACTTTCTCTTCGTTCCATCTATTTTCACTTGTTCGAAGAACGGAGACCGGAATATATCTTTGTCCAGAGGCTGTTAGAGATAAAATAGAGCTTTCCATTGCAAAATTAAATGGAAGAATATTTCGAGGCAACTATCTGTTACTGAACAAGAGGCTAGACGGAGCCTGTATTCTGGCTGGATTTGCGATTCAACGGATTGAATTGAATTATTTCGAATTTAAGGCTTCGCTGTTTTAGCAAATACGCTCTCGACTGCTTTTCATGGTTTGTTTACATGGAGAGCTATGGAGAACAAGTTGATGCCATCCATGACAATTTGGAAATACTAAAATCGCCAGAGGAAATGCGGGGTCGCTCAATAAAAATCTGCATTTGAGCGCGATGACTTTGTTTACAAGGATTTCTCCTGGTTATTTCTAAGAACAAACCTCTGAAGTGTTTTTTTTGCCTAGGTACGACATATCACAGAAGGCATTTTGTAGACCGCAAGTTTTTTGACTGATTGAAATTAAAGGTATGTGGCAGTGACTTTCAGGAGTTTTTTCTTGTTAGAAAAGTATAGTTGTTTCGTCCTCTATATTAATCTACTGATGGATCCAATCGCCAATGTTCACATAAGACGATCGTGTTAATTAATCGAATTTAAACAAGCAGCCAATGAACCTTTACTGTTCCCAAGGGTTGTTGTTTCCACCAGTACGTTATCAATTGAAGTGATTCACAGTATTAGGTTTGTGCTTTAAATAGTTCACTCGAAAGATAAGTATAAACTGTAACACCTTAAGCCTGACTGATACTCGATGCCAAACTCGGCCTCGTTCCTAGGCTTGTCCACCAGACAGAATCAGTAATTCCGTTTGGTTTTTCCTGAGCAGGAAAATGCACATTAGACGTTACGTGGCACTTTTTAATTAGCATAGAGCAATGGCCCTTCGCAGCCAGAATAATAATTACGACTTTTTCTCTGACAAAGAGGCGACAGTAAGCATTATTATAGCCTACGAGCAGGTCGTTGTTTGATGTCATAACGCAACGTTGGAGAGAAAGCGTTGCGTGACAAGTTCAAATCAGAGCTGTGGAGGCCGAGGGGACTGAAGAAAGCGTGGTATCCATGAATGTTGTTTATTTTTGCCGACAATTATTCACACACCAGCATCAGTTACTAGGTGTCCCATTTCAACCCGCACATCTTAAACCGCGGTGGTAGAAACGAAAATTTAAAATTTAAAAAGCTCTTAAGTCCACAAAATGGCCGAAAACACACTAGTATCGTTTGATGATGGTTCAGCAAGAGAAAATAATGGTCCCTTTATTTTTCATAGGTTTGAATCGAGTTAATAGCAAGCTTAAGCCAGCGGTTTTTCGCCTTAATACTGGCCTGTGCGACTCGCTAGCCCTCGTCAGTAGAGCCTCCTACGCCGGCAAGGAGGAGAAACTAGAAAATCTAGCCAATCGTACTCTTCAAACTGTGCGTCTTACGCTATGCTGTACTCGGTACAGGAAAAGTAAATCCATGAGAGCCGTCGATGAGTAAGATTATCACCATGGCTAAGGCAAATGATTTGTGGAATGTATTCATTAAAAAGTTTAAGCCCCGTGCCGGGTAAACTGACTGAAATGCCAAGCGTGCTCGAGGCAAAAGATATGGGGTACACACGTCTTGTTTCAATCGACTTCGCTTCGATATCAGGGAGAATGTCCTCCATAAACCTATCTCGTGTCATGTGAGGTTTTTTTGTTTCGGAAGTCAATTACTTTGAAGGCACACAACGCACCCGCCTAGAGCAACAATGGGATAGCCCCCACCTATTGAAGGTTCGTTCCCTAAATAATTACTCACAGTATGCTAGCTCAAATTTTGCTTTCCTTTCTAAGTAAACCGGTTTTTCTGGTGTTTTTTTTTTCCGACTCTCCTCACTCTTTACTTTCTTCTATTGTATGCATGTAATTGATTGATACCGATAGGTTATTTTACCGATAGGAAATAAACATCAGATATCAAAAAGAGCGGAGTTTTTCGATGCCTCGCACACAGAAATAAAATGAAAAACTCTTTTACTCTATTTAAATTCCATATGAAAGGTTATCAGCCTGAGAACACTAACGTTATTAGCCTGCGTTCGAAGTGAATTTACAGAAAGTTAGCTATTTTACGAAAGTGAATTCGTCATGGCATGGTGTTCTCGAGGAAACACGATGTCATGGCGATGTCATGAGGTTACTGGCTACCAGCAAGAGAATATCACCTGATGATATTCTCTTGCAGCCAATAAACTCTATATCAACGATTGTTTTAGTATAGCAAGTAACTGATATGGTACTTGAAAACGTAAAAACTGAAAGGTAATTTACGACATAACAAACCATTAAGAACGATTAGAAACTATACACAACATGTGCTGTTAAGCAATCACTCGTACACATCAAGCGTATGTGACAATACCATTTTAAAATTGAATTAAATCACGCGCGATAACCTTGATAACAAAAAGAATCCGAGAACACGCAAATAGGAATTACGTCAGCGGAGTCATACCTCTTTTCGCCGGTTAGAATTCTTGTTATTTTACTATCTTAATCTCGTAGCTTCGATCCTAACTGACTGCGTCCGAGGACAACCAGAGTTCTATCTAATTTTATTGTCCTTGTCACCTGACTCAAAACGAAAATTACATAATCAACGATTGTAGAATAATAGCTAATTATTACAACGTGATTTCACCGAGGAAACTTGTCAAAACATCCGAGCCGCAAAACGAAGCACGTGCGAGCCGCATGTAATAATGTTGAAGAGCCACCGTGTCACGCATAAGATCCCAACGTGACATCTCTTCTGAAAACAGTTAGAACATAAACAAGATTGTAATAAATAACCAAGGTTCTAACCTGAGTCCAAAAGGTTCCGAGTGAGTACGACTACAAAATCACCCAAAGGTTCTTTTAGCTTAAATTTGTGATCAGCTTGGCAGCATCACTATGCAGTTTCTATAAGACGCTGTGGTGGTCTGCGGACCCGTAGACTTCTTCATACGGGTTGATACTCTTGCGGGGTATCGGGCTGTGATTCCATCTGGCGTTTCGAGACCAGCATCAGTACTTGGTTGCATATAAGAATTTGGCTCATCACTGCGTCCTACTACCCATGCTGGGCTTGGTGCTGGGGATGGGACTGGAGGTGCCTCCTCCTTGGTCGGTTGAAGATGAAAACGGTTTTGACGCATCTGGGTTCCATCAGGGGTCACTACAATGTAAGAACGAGGAGTCGGGTAATGTCGGATGACCACTGCAGGTGTCCATTCCAGTCCCTGGTTCATTCGCACAGGTTCGCCTTCGTGTAGTTTGGAAAGTGGCCGAGTGCCGCGGTCATAGAGTATTTTCTGATCTTGTTGACGTGTCAGCAGATTATAACAAATTTGAGGAGACCTAGGCTGTGGTTCAAGGAGGCTCTTCGAAGTTGGCAGTCTTGTTCTAAGCTTCCTACTCATAAGAAATTCTGCTGGGGATTCATCCATTCCACTGATAGGGAAATTACGGAACTCTAATAAAGCGAGGAATGCATCCTGTTTTGACTCATCAGCTTTCCTTAGTAACTGCTTAACGATCTGTGCGTTTATTTCCACTAGACTATTAGATTTCGGGTAGTGTGGACTTGAGGTTACCACTTCTATCTCCCAGTTACTGGCAAAGTCCTTACATTTCACACTATTGAACGGCATGTTATCTGCGATTAGCCTCTCAAGGATTCCATGACGTGCAAACATATCTTTCATGGCCAGGATAACTGCTTCGCTATTCTTACAGGAGAGGCGGGCTACTTCAGGATATTGGAGAAATAGTCAACTAAAAGCAGGTAGCCTCTCCCTTTACAGTAGAATTTGTCTGCTGCAACTGTCACCCGGGCTCTCTCAGGGGTCTCTTGAGAAATCAAAGGCTCTCTCTGGTTGCTTCGTTGGTGTTGCTGACAGGTATTGCACTTGGATACCAACTCGTCGATTGCACCATTGATACCTGGCCAAAACACTGCACTCTGGGCTCGCGCTCTGCACTTCTCTATCCCCAAGTGAGCGGCGTGTATGCATTGAAGTATTTCGGGTCGCAGGCTATGGGGAACAATTATGCGATCACCCTTGAACAATAACCCCTCGTAGCAGCTAATTTCATCTCGGTGGTTCCAGTAAGGTCTTGTCTCAACTGGTGTCTCTACTTTGGTCTGCAGCCAACCACCCATGACAACTTTCTGCAACTGTTGAAGTTCAGGGTCACTCTTAGTCTCGTCCCTCAATTTGTGAAATATCGTCTCTGACAAATGTCCAGAGTTCAGGACATGAATTTCAAAATCATCAGGTTGGTCTGTAGCGTTGTGGGGTAAGTATGCTCTGGAGAGCGTATCAGCTAAAGGTAGTTGGCATTTCTCCCTGTTAAGCTTGAGGTTACGATCACGGCAGCTGTCCAATATTTGTCTAAGCCTCACATCATGCTGCTCCACATCTTTTCCCCACATAATCAGATCATCCATAATTACCTCAACACTTTCAATGTCCTGAAACAAATGAGACATAACATTTTGGAACACATCTGGGGTGGATGCTATCCCAAATGGTAAACTTGTATAACCATTAGGGCCAAATGGGGTGTTAAAGATAGCTAACTTACTACTGTCCGTGGTTAGTTTAACCTGCCAAAAGCCATGGTTAGCATCAAGGACTCTTAAAACTTTTGCACTGGGCATTCTGCTAATCACATCTTCCACGATATGCATGGGAAAATGTTCGCGCATGACGGCATGATTGATGTCGCTAGAATCCATGTACACTCTGAGTTTGTTATTCTTCTTCTCGGCAACAACACTATGTACCCAGGCAGTGGGCTCTTTACATTTCTTAATAACTCCCAGCTTTTCCATTCTCCGAAGCTCTTCTCTAAGAGGTTCGCGAAGGGCAACAGATCTTGAGCGAGACGTGCCACTCATCTTTAGAAGGACCTTCTGCACTAAACTCCACTGAAAAGGTCAGCAAATCGGCTTCGTTATCACTGCCGTCCGATTCAACGACTGCGCGTACTGTTTTCCAGCCAAAATCCCACACTGAGTCGCTTCCGGAAAACATTCGCAAAATGATCCATCCTCTGGCAGTAGTCTCACGTTTTTCAAAAGGCAGGGCAAGAGCTCCACGAGTGAGGAGAACCTCAAAACGTGCAGTTTCCTTTTTGTGAGCCCGAACCCGGTTTTTGGCTACGTGAACGGTTCTTCTTCAATCTGTCGCCGCCGCCTGCTCGAATTTTATTCACGGTCGGATTTGCATTGTTTTGCTCCAACGGACCCATCGCTTTAATCTGTTCTTTCGAAGCCTCGGACGATCTTGCCATAGAAATCGCTTTTTCAGTGTAAGTCTCTCGTCTCTCATTAATCGTTTCTTCACTTGTAGATCTCGTATGCCAAACACGAACTTGTCTCGCAACATTTCATCAACCGGCAACGGGTACTCGCAAGATTTCACTTTGTTTTTCAAACGTGTGACAAACTGATCCACAGTTTCGGAATCTTTCTGTGTTATCTGCTAAAACTAATACCTCTCGAACACTACGTTCTTCCTGGGGTTACAGTATTGCTCAAACTGCTCAAGGACTTTGTACAGCTTTTTCTCGTCGCCTTCGGCAAACTTGAAGACCTCAATGGCGTCTTCTCCTGCAAAGTTTAGCAATAAGGCAATCTTGACCGCATCGTCTTTCTTTTCTTTTCCCGAAGCAGTTAAGTAGATATCAAACTGCTACTTCAATCTCCGCCAATTTTCTGATGTGTTTGTGTCGAGACTCAAAGCGCTAGGCTTGTCAAAACTACCCATATATTACTCCTGACACCGTGTCAAAAGATCCGAGTCGCAAAACAAAGCGAAGTACATGCGAGCCGTTAGGTAATAATGTTAAGGAGCATGCGTGTCACGCATAAGATCCCAACGTAACAAAACTTGTTCAATCGAAACATTATCGATGGAGAGTTCGAGTATATCAGATAGAGTACTTAATCTTTGTTACTCGGTTTACTGTTCATCACTAGTAAGCTCATGTCCTCTGAGGGGACTATGTAAAAAATCATTATTTTTTTTTTAATCATGACTGTATGACATCGATTAGCAAATGAAATAAAAGAAACGTGAAATGTGGAATGCATAGTTTTTTTAAATTTGATCCACTGAAACTGTGGCATTGCCGAATTGAACTTGGTATTCAAGAAGCGAATTTTTGGGAATTACAGTGATGCGAAGAATTATAAAGGAGAGAAAAAGCCATTATAATACGTAAATTAAAGTTATAAATTTTATAATTACCGTAAATCCTCTATGATTGCTCCTGTTGATGGGGGGGGGGGGATATTTTTTGAAGCGTTTATTCGAAATTTAAATCTTGCCGATAAAGATCCAATTTTAACGATTTTTTTGTACTTAATGAAAGCTCTCCCCCGTCTTGCAACATTGAAAATTATCCCAACCTAGTAGTAGTGGGGACTGGCCACAGAAAACATTTCCTTACTACGTCATCTGCCAAAGCAATGCAAAATACAAAAATAAAGCAAACGGAAAAAGTTTTTATTTCGTTTGTAATTCCAATTTTATTTAGTAAAAACAATCATCCTCATCCTTGCTTTGCCGATTATTGTGGCTAATGACTGATTATAGCTTCAGTTTCTAAGATTTTACAAAGAGCAAAACTGAAATGTTCACAACGACCTGCTTCCCGTTTGCCCGACGACACATTTTGAATAAGACTGTCTGCTTTCTCAAAAATATGAAATAAACATTCCAAGTATTTTATCCTGTGGTTGATAAGAAATAATGAACTGATCTGCACGGATACGGTGAAATGCTATTGAAGAAATTGAACCTAGAATGTTCAGTCTTCGACAGGTTTCGACCGTGCTGTGCTTCCAAGTGCCAGTTAAACGTGCCATGAAACCAAATGTCGTGAGGCAAATTTTTATAGTTTGTCTGATCCTCCATGAGGAATGCGACCACAAATAAATGAGATATATCATACGTTGACTTGTGGATAAGACCAAGTCACGAACCTATCTACTCAGGTAATTTGCGATCGAAGAAATTGTCGACTGCTTTACACAATGGTGTCAGTCTTAATTCACAACTTAAAACATTTTATTGCCTGTACACGCATAGAAATCATGGAAATCGTTATATGATATATATGATATATCGTCGATCCTGACTCACCAGTAGGAAAATCATAATCATGAATCCTCATTAATTATCTATTATTATGCTCTTCCTGACTGATGATCAACTCGATTTAATTCTCTGCATTTCTCAAACGTTTCCGCTCCAGAAAACAATTTATTACGTTACTGATCGCAGCAATAGTTTTTAAGTGTAACAATTTTATGTCTCTAAGGGAAGTGAAATGATTCTGGAAACCAAAGTCCGAAGTCACTTTAAATGCTTTGTCTTCAGTGGAAAATGTTGCTCACCTCTTAATCGTAAACGACTAGCAGAGTCAAGATAAACCTTTGATAAGGAAATGTTGCTTACCTCTTAATCGTATACGACTAGGAGAGTCAGGATAAACCTTGCACAGACCAGTTTTAAGTAATTCATTCGTCACTTTTGATCGGATATTTAATTTTTTTCTCTCCTCTCACCAAACCAATACGTATTTCGCTTTCGTAGATGCGGGTGACAGGTGGTAAACACCTGTAATGTGGTAATGAAAGCGGATATATAACTGGCATTTCCTCCATGGTTTAATCTCCAAAATATATCAAGAGTCATTGAACTGATCAATAGCAAATCTATTATAACAGTAGGCAGTCTGATACTACATGTGGCTACTGATATAGAGCAATTTTTTATCACATTGAACAGTATAATAACGTCAGAAGCTAGTGTTGTCCACATGCAAAACAGAAAACCTGCCGCTTCCCACATGTTTACCGTATCCTGTTCCAAAGGAGAAAGACTATTCACGAATATAGTGACTGATTGACATTCAATCAATGATTAGATGGTAACAATTAATCATATGAACAATAATAATAGTACGTATGATGCACGATCCTCGCAGTAGATAGCGCTATTTGAGCAATAGCGAAAATCAGACCTGAAAAAAATCAGGCCTGTACGGGACTCGAACCACTGACCTCTGCGATACTAGTGCAGCGCTCTTACCAATTGAGCTAACAAGCCAACTGAGAG